CATAACTATTCCAAGCTCCACAGCCACAAACTCTAAACAGTCAAACACTTTTCCAGCCCAAAGTTCCAAATGCTTCCACAATCCTCCAGCGTCAGGGCTGTCACAGCAGTGCCCAACTCTCTGGTACCAATTTTTGTCCTAGTTTGTTTCTCCATTGCTGTGACAAAACACTCTGACCAACACCAACTTGGGTGGAGATGATTTATTTGGCTTACGTCTTCCAGGTCACAGTTCATCAGGGAGCCCAAGGTAGAAACTCAGGGCAGGAACCTGGAGGCAGGAGCTGAAACACAGGGCATGGAGGATCACTGCGTACTGACTTGCTCCCCTAACCCCTGCTCAGCCTGCTTTATTATGCAACACAGGCCCACCTTCCTAGGGAGGGCACCCCCCACAGTGAGATGAGGTCTCCCACATCACTCAGCAATCAAAAAGATGCCCCACAGACATGGCCACAGGCCAGTCCAATGAAAGAAATTCCCCAATTGATGCTCCCTCAACCCAGGTGTGTCAAGTTGTCACTAAAGCTATCCAGCACAGAGATCCTCAACATATTGAATTAGAGTAGTCTCTGGATAGCCCATTTTATTAAGTCTTTGGAGAGAGCTAAACCAAATAACTGCAGACTGCCTCAAAAATCCTTGAGGGAGGACAGTTCAAGTGACCTATCCTGCTCTGTGAGTGGGGTCCTCAAAAGCAAATTGTAACTATTAGGATGGAGTGTGATGTAAAAGAAGGCATCCATAAGGTTTAGCGCTGAATAATAGGATGCATTTGGTGAGGGGAATCTGGTTGAGGAGAGTGTAAGGATTAGGAACTACTGGATGAAGTGGAACCACTGCCTAATTAATTAGATCTTAGACTAGTTTCCATTTGTCTGGACCTTTCCTAACACCAGGGATAGGGGTATTATATGGGCTAGAACATTTAATCAGTAATCCTTGATTCTTTAGTCCTTGAATTATGGGGATTAGGTCCTCTCTGACTTCAGGTTTTAGAGATTATTCCTTTTGATGTGGGAAGCATTTGGGATCTTTAAGATATTTGATCACAGGAGTGACTGTTTTAACCCTTCCATCTGTCCATACTGAGGCCTTGATATTGCTCTCTATCAGGACCAAGCAGTAATTCTGCTCGGGAGGGAGAAGTAATTTAATGCTGAGCCTAGAAAAAAGGAAAGGTCTTTTCCTAACAGAGGAGTTGGGGTGTGAGGAAGTATCAGAAAAGAATAACAGAACTGTAGGCCTCCCCAGGAACAAGCAAGTGAGCAAATGAAGTAACATTCTAGGGACTGGCCGAATATGCCCCAAAGAGTTGTGCTTCTGTGAGATTGGGGACCAAGAGAGAAGGATAATGCTGAGAAGCCAGTCATGAGTTCGACCTTACGGTCTACACTTCCAAGGGCCCCTCAAGATTGATAGGCAAAATGGGAGCCAGTATGGGAGGTTCCAAGACACATCATTGAGAGAAAAATGTTGACCTGGGACCTGATTGATTGTGAGGACACTGATAATTTCAGTGACTTCCCAGCAAATAGGGCAAGATTCCTTGTGAGGTCTAATTTTTCTGGTGACATTCCCTATGAATATGGCCTTCTTGTCCACAGAGAAAACAGTACTGGGCTTGGATATTGTTGTGGGGTGGGGGAGGGCCTTTGTCCAGTTGGCCTTCATAGCAGCCACCAGTTTCCTATGGTGCTTCCTCTTTTCTCTTTTCTTTGTCTTCTTTCCTACTATAAAAGAGAATTTGTGGCCTGGATGTAATTGTTCAAGGTCTTTTCAGGATGGGCTCTCAGCTTTTGGAGTTTTTGACAATGACTGAGTTAGGAACTTGTCCCTCTGGAGAACTTCCTCCTCCTGTGATTCTGCTGTTTGTTAGTATGTTTTCTCATGTCCTCTTGTAGTCTCTTAGGGAAGATTACAGGTGTCTTTTGATCTTCCTGATGGATATGAGACGACCGAGCATAATTAAGGGGCTTTAGCTTTCCTGAAACCGTATATGACACACTGAAGAAAATGATCCCTTTTCCATTCACCCCAGGCCTTATTTGGTTTTTGATCTGAGCCAGTATTGGGAACTGCCTCATCCACAGTGGGAATGTGATCATTGTCCTCCTGCCTGTTAGCTGGAATCATTTTTCACTCAGATAGCCAGATCCATCATTTTTTCTTTTCTTTCTTTTCTTTTCTGTTCTTTCCTTTTCTGGTCTCGGTCTCTCTCTCTCTCTCTCTCTCTCTCTCTCTCTCTCTCTCTCTCTCTCTCTCTCTCTCTCTCTCTCTCTCTCTGTCTTTTTGAGACAGGGTGTCCCTGCAGCCCCAGCTGACCTAGATTCACTATGGAGACCATAGCCTCAAACTCACAGAGATCTGTCTGCCTCTGCCTCCCAAGTGCACGCCCAGCTCCATTTTCCCTTTTTTTCTAAAAAGGTTACTCTTTGTTCATTATAAAGAAACATCACATGACTATATCTAATTAAGTTTTTTAAAATGCCCTGATGCATTGGTGTGGGTCCTCATTGTAGTTCCGTAGTTCACAGCTCTATGTTTCAGTGGTCTGAAAATGCCCAGTGGCGTGCTAAAGTCAGTCTTTAGAGGTAGGTGGAGTAACAACCCCTAAGGAAGGAAGGCTCCATTAGTAGGTTCCCAGCCAGTGCGTAGACTCCTACAGTTTTAGTATCCACATGATGACTTTCTTTTCTGTTCTCCCACTTCTGCTACTAACCACCCTTGAATATCACATTTGGCTTGTAGAGTGGGCTATACTTCCCTTTATAAATTTATCACCTATTTCCTGCCTGTGGTTCTCCAGAGAAAATAGCAGGAAATTCTTTTCATAATCCTCATGATGTTGGCTTCATGGCTTTCCTTTTCCATTGAACCCAGTGGACTATACAGGGCACAGAGAGACACATGCACATTTCTATCTAGCTCCCAGCATTGATGTGTGTGTGTGTGTGTGTGTGTGTGTGTGTGTGTGTGTGTGTTTAGGTTGCCTAATGTTTTCTGGGGAGTGTCTACTTCATACATGTGAACCCAAATAGTGTCCTAATGTCTTCTATATCATGGCCACTTTAAGGTGGGTGCTGTGAACCTGCCTAATTGTTCTACTTGTGTTCGGGTGTATGCATGTGAGGTCAGAGTTTGGGGCCAAGGACAGTTGAGGTGGATAGGAAATGATTAAGGAGCTGACTTTACTTTGCTTCTGCTCTTTGCACAACTTCACGATAACTTGTGATGTAAGAGACTGACATTAAATTTCCCTTAATCCAGCCTGAAATCTGCCTTCTTTTGTTCTTGAGCATGTATTTTGTGAAGGCTTGGGAAGGGGGAGGTTAAAATGTCCAAACCTTACTGGACAATCTGAGGTCTTAGAAGCTGGGTGCTGACTTGGTCGCCCTACCACCACCTCTGGATTTGAGTGGGATCCAGAGGATTTGGAATTTCTGTGGCAGAGGGAAGATGGGGCAAGTAGACAAGCAGGAAATGAGTTAGATTTGTGCTTTGTCTCTAGCTGATATTTAGGCATGTTGATCTTTAAAAATACTTTCACTAGGGCTGGGAGTATAAGTCATCAGCAGAGCCCTTGTCTAGTATATAGGTCTTGGGTTTGGTCCCCACCATTGCCAAAACGCAAAAAGCTTTAGTACTGAGCCTAGATCCTCATGCATGCTAGGCAAGTTCTCTACCGCTGAGCTGTACATTTTATTGTAAGACAGGGTATCAGCTGAGTTGCTTAGGCCAGCCTTGAACTTGCTCTGTAACCCAGGTGGAGACATAGATGCTCCCGCCTCAGCTTCCCGAGTAGCTGGATTATTGTCCGCACCATCGGGCCCAGCTCTTCCGCTTTCCTTTTCCTTTGTTCTTTCCCTTTTCCCTTTCCCTCCTCTTCCTTTTCCTTCTTAGGTGCTGGAGATTGAACCCAGGGTCTCACATGTGCTAAGCATGTGCTGTACCACAGAGCCACTCCCCAACTCATCCTGTCATCTCACAGGACTTTTAGGATCTGATTTCTGACCAAAAAAGAAGCAAAAAAAAAAAAAATCATTCCACTCCCCAGGGAATTCAGATGAAAACTGCTAATAAAATCAGGCAAAATTTGCCAGGTGGCACAGCACTGGGGAGGCAGAGGCAGGCAGATCTTTGTGAGTTCAAGGTCAGCCTGGCCTATGTATTGAGTTCCAGGCCAGCTGGGACTACAGGGAAACCCTGTCTCAAAAAGACAAAAAAAAAAAAAAAAAAAGATATTGGAGAAGAGCCCAATTGGAGAAGAACCCAGGCTGGGTTTATAAGGAATTACATATGAGATGACATACATACTTTTGTTGTATCAAAGTCACCAGATATATCGCCAATCCTTTTTAGCTGTTTTTGTTTGTTTTGAGACAAGGTTTCCCTGTAACCCCAGCTGGCCTGGAACTAGCTATGTAGACCAGGCTGTCCTCCACCTCACAGAGATCCTCCTGCTTCTCCTGAATGCTGGGATTAAAGGATTGACCACCAGGCCAGGCTCTTATTAGCTGTTCTTCAGAACATGAACAGGGGTTCAGTAAGATGGCTCAGTGGATGAGGTGCTTGCTGCCAAGCCTAATGACCTGAGTTTAATCCATGGGACTCACATGGTAGAAGGAGAGAACCAACTATAGCAAGTTGTCCTCTGACAATACATATAGGCTGTGGTGAACACACAACATTAGATAAATGCATCTCTCAACCCTTATTAAAGAAGCTTCTTATATTAGGAGGTAATACAGACCCAGAACTGGTCAAGGTGCAGAGATCGAGAGACTGCAGAGTGCTCAGCCTTAAGTGGGACATCCACACCCCTTCCCTCAAGACTCAGAGAACTTTGAGGAAGAGGGAGCAGAAAGGTTATAAAAGTCAGAGATGAATAACTATAAGGAAACTGTTTTCTAGAAAGCAGGACAGTTGCACACATAAACTCATAGCATTGTGATAGCATGCATAAGACCACCTTATGCTCAAGACAGACAAAATCCCATCATGGAGAAGGTAGGTGGCACAATTTCCCACTCTTGTCTGAGGAGCTCTTGGTATTTGACAGCTGCTAGGAGAAGAGAGTCAGTTATTTTCAAGGGTGTGACCACTGGTTGGTGGGCCACAGTTCCAGGTAGGTTCCTCTCTCAAGAGCATTTGAGGAAACATATTGGGCTTGATGCAGGGTTTGGAGGAAGAATAGTAAGTTGGGTGGGTAAGGAGTGGGAGAGAATCTAGGAGAAGTTAGGGGAGGGAGAATGTGATCAAAATACACTCTATAAGCCCTCTGATAGTTGGAGGCCAGAGGGAGGCTAGAACCCCGCCCTCTCTGGTGGTCTGCTGACCTCCAAGCTGCTACCCCGATGGAGGTCCGAACCCACCCTCTCAGGCTGTCTCAAGTCTTCAAATAATTTTTAAAATTTTATTTTTTATGTGGTTGAGTGGTTTTTTTAGTTGAATTTTTGCAATTTTCATACAAAATAGTTTGATGGTATTTAGATTCCCTCCCCTATCCACACCTCTCCCTTCTCTCCCCCCCCAATTTAATGTACTTTCATATGTATAATATGGCCTAGACTATGATTTACGTCCCTAAATGTCCTTCAGTGTGGGTCCATCCACTGGGCCCACCAAGTGTCTCTTTCAAGTAAGACACTGTCACTTCCCCTCCCAGCAGCCATCACTGTTCATTAGGTTGGGTTGGGATTTCTTACTTACTTCCCCATATCTATGCTGAGATTTTGCTTGTTTTGAACTTGCACAGGACTTGTGCATGCTGTCACTATTGCTGGGAGTTCATTTGAGTAACTGACCAGCTGTCAGGAAGACTCTTGTTTGCTTGTGGTCATCCACCCTCTCTGGCTCTTACAATCTTTCAGCCTCCTCTTCCACCATGATCCCTGAGCCTGAGAAGGCAGAGGTTTGAACTAGGCGTTCTATTCAGGGATAAGCACTCTGCAGTCTCTTCTTCTCTGCACATTGGCCAATTGTGGGCTTCTGTGTTAATCACCATAAGAAAAGTTGTCAGGTGAGAATTGAGAGATACCTTCCTCCTGTGTGTGGAGGTTGCATTGAAGATGTGTCATTTAGCATTAACCATCTCACAGATGCTTATTCTCTGTTTGATCAGTTGTGGAACTCTGTAATTCTCTCTGTTGCAAAAAGAAGCTTCTTTGATGAGGGGTGAAAGGTACACTTGTCTGTGTGAGGATGCATAATTAGAATAAAGAAATTATGTTGGTCTAGGGATGTGGCAAAAGTAGGTTTTTCTCTAGGATCTATGACTTCTCCAGCCATGTGTATTTGGCTATATAGTCCCCCACTTCATCCTCACATTGAGTGGAACTTAATCCCAATTAGACAGCTGTTGATTACCTCCAATATGAAAGTACCATTACTGGAGCAATAACAATACTTTTCTGGGAAGGACCATTGATTGGTTTACTTCCTTGGCAGCTTGTGTAGTATCCTCTGATACCATGAGAACTAGTCTTCAGAACTAGTCTTCCAGGACAGTTCCAGCTCCATCGCTCTGAGTCCTGTGTCTAAAGTGTAGCCTGTCTTCAGCAATAGGGTCTTACCTTCAAGTTCTGGGAGGCAATGAAGGACCGTGACAACAGCCTGTGTTATTTTGAGAGTCTCTTGGACTACCCTGACCAAAAACTTAAAGTGAGGTTTCTTCTGCCTGGCGCTGTATTTTTGTTATATAGCCTTCAGCTATATATATCTACATATACTTATTGCTTGTGTATTTTCAGTAGGACTTCAAACTAATAAGAATTTCCCTCTCATTTTTCATAACATCTAAGCATTATTTATCTCTCCTCTCATTCCTCCTGTATAACCTTCCCTCTTCCCTCCCCAGTTAAAGTAACCCCCCTTTTCCCCATTTCCCCCTTAATAACACATCTCCTACTATCCCCTTCTCTTGAGCTCCTTCTTCCCCTTTATCCCCATGGTTCCTCTGTATTCTCCTGGCTTCTGTGGTTATGTCAGGATAAAAACTCAAACCAAGGGACTTGGTGCTAAGATCCACAATGAGAGAGAACATATGTTCAAATTCATAGCCCAAATTTTTCAAAGTTAATTTTTTTTCATTATTCAAGAATTTCATGCAATGTATCATGATCATATTCAGACCCCCTCCCCCATCTCCATCCTCACTTTACTACCCTCCATGCTCCCCCACCCCCTTCCCCACCCCCTGAATTCATGTCCTCTATCAGTAAATGAAAAACCCCACTTATCTTACACAACACGTCTAAATTGGGTGCCAATCACATCTGATTAGAGTGTCAGTGTTCTGTAGTTCTTACACACAGATGGGTCAGAGTAAGGGCCCACTCCCTTTCCTTTGTACATGGTTTTGGATCAGAAAACACTCAGGTTTCTTGGAATGAAATTTTCACACTTGTTTTCAGTTTCTCTTACACACTGCTTAGGGTTGTCATGTAGGGGTCTCTTCCTCAGTGATAAGAAATGCTTGGGTTGACTCATCAGTCAGTTGTTCACAGCCCAAGTACATGCAGGTTACAGTTTGGTTGTTTCAGGGCCTCACTCAAGCAGAGAAGGCTTGAACTCTGGAGCTGTGGGAGGAGCTGATGATGGCCCCAAAGGAATGGAATGGGTGTGGTGGGATTTGGTAACTCATCCCAGCTAGTCAGGTGCCATCCAGTAGGCTCAGTGGGATGGGGCCAAGAGCTTATGGGAACAAGATGGGCTGGTTCTTACTAGCTAGTAGAGAAGGTTTGAGCTCTGGAGCAGTGGGAGTGACTGGTGGTGGTCCCAAAGTAAGGGGATGGGCATGGTGGGATTTGGGTAACTCACCCTGGCTAGTCAGGCGCTCTGATGTAACCTCGGTTGGTCAGGGCCAAAGCCCAAGGACAGCCTATGGGAACAGGATGGACTGGCTCTTACTAGCTAGCAGAGAAGGCTTCTATGGTTGAGTGTTTTGCCTGCCTGCATGTCAGTGCGCCATGTTCATGCAGTGTCCTCAGAGGCCAGAAGAGGACATTGGATCCCCTGAAACTGGAGTAATGGATGGTTGTTACCCACCATGTCAGTCCTGGGAACTGAACCTTTGTCCTCTGGAAGAGCAGCTAGTCCTCCTGACCACTAAGCCATCTCTCTAGCCCTGAAGTTCTCAACAAATTAATACAAATATTAAACAAAACACCCAAAATCGCCCAAACAAATAAAAACCAAGAACAACAACAAAAACATGAGCAGGGAAATGGCATTTGCTGGGAGACTGCAGAGTGATTTCAACCTTGAACATTTTTTTCTGTGGAATTACTTTACTCCCTTCTGGCTGCTGGGCTCAGGGTGGGATAGGGAGAAAGATACATAGAAAATGCTCAGATGAACCAGTGCCAAGGTTTTGTCTCATGTTCCCACACTAAGCTCATGCTCCTTCTACCACACTGAGGTGCCAAGGCAGCATAGCTGCGACCCCGTTTGCTTTTCCCCATTTTAAGGTGTCATGATACCTGTTTGCAATTTCTTTCCCCCTTAGATACTCATTTCAGCCTCGTGTCATTTATCACTGATGGTACAATAAGTAAAAGATTTCTAGACTTCACATTCTTACCATTGTCTCTATGCCCTTCCTATTCCTCTGTTTTGAGGATGACCTTGACAACTTAGTACTAACCTGAGTTTGCCTGTAGCCATTTGACCAGGCCAGTTGGTCCCTAAACAAGGCTCTGCCCGAAGAAAGCAGGGAGTCCAAGAACTCGGTTTTGAGGGTATTGGAAGTCAGGCAGACTGCATGTGAATTGTCTTTTATTAACTGTGGACAATTGAAATAAGCTCTCAGAGCCTTAGTTCCAGTATCTAGAACATGGAGCGGAAACTAACATAATAGTTGAATTTACTGAGTAGTTCTCCTTCTTCCTTCTCCCCTCCCGCTCCTCCTCCTCCTCCTCCCCTCCTCCTCCTCCTTCTTCTCCTTCATCATCATCATCATCATCATCATCATCATCATCTCTAGAGCTTATGTATTATTTAGTTGTCATTTTTTCATATTGAGAAATTATAAGACACATGTCCAAATGAATGTCACTCATAGCTGGCAGACTGGTAGTTCTGAACAGACACAGCCCTCCCCCGAGCCCATGTCCTTAACTTCTAAACTAGATTATGTAACCCATGGAATGTTAACAAGTATGAACTGAGAAAACATTTGTAGCATCAGTTGCAGTGCTTTCATATAGCAGTCACTCCTTAATGGTAGCTACTACCACCTAGAGAAGCCTGTCTTCCTAGATGTGCTCTGCTTCTCCACTGCATGTGGAAGATGCTGCCCCAAGACAGAGTGAGTCAGGAGATAGCTGAATCTTTTCACTGACCTAAGGTTTTCAAGGTGTCAGGGATTCTTCTAATTCTGCTGTCAGTTTATTGGCAAATGTCTTGTTTCTTTGATCCCAAAGTTGACTGACAGGACCTAAAAGGATAACACAGGAACTTAAACTAAGTGGTCACTGGAAGGGGCTCCCACTCAAAAGCCATTTGCTTAAGAATCATGTTTCTTATATGACAGAATGCACAAAATTCTGTGGACGTGCTATGGGGAGTGCAGATAGGGGAGGGGATTTAGATACGATTAAGATGTATGAAACTCCAAAAAGTTCAATAAAAATATACATTGGAAAAAAAGAATCATGTGTCTGACTTTTCCTTCAGAGATTCTGGCTGTTTATTTCCTAATATTTTGACCATTTTGTCAGGCATCCCAGATAAGCCGTCTGTGGACCAGAGTGAGGCTGCTACCTAAACTGGCACAAGTGGAGGGCCAGTGCCATGGAACTGAGGAGACCCAGCAGGGACACAGGGAAGTGCAGATTCTGGTTCAGAGGAACCAGAATGCTTGTTGTTTCCCTTGTTATGAGTTTCTTGGCTTTCTGCCTGGTCCTGGGAATGCTAGGCCAGTGAGCATTTCTGGAACATCTCCCCATCCAAGGCATTGTCTTACACTGGGCAACGGGCAGCATGGTTTGTGGCTGAAAGGGTTCTGG